AGAAAAGACAGTCTCTTCAATAAGTGGTGCTGGGAAAACTGGATAGCTACATGTAAAAGAATGAAAATAGAACACTCCCTAACACCATACACAAAAATAAACTCAAAATGGATTTAAAGACTTAAATGTTAAGACTGGACACTATAAAACTCTTAGAGGAAAACATAGGAAAAACACTCTTTGACATAAATCACAGCAAGATCTTTTTTTGATCCACCTCCTTAGAGTAATGGAAATAAAACCAAAAATGAACAAATGAGACCTAATGAAACTTAAAAGCTTTTGCACAGCAAACGAACTATAAACAAGATAAAAAGACAACCCTTAGAATGGGAGAAAATATTTCCAAATGAATCAACGGACAAAGGATTAATTTCCAAAATATATAAGCAGCTCATGCAGCTCAATATTAAAAAAACAAACAGCCCAATCCAAAAATGGGCAGAAGACCTAAATAGACATTTCTGCAAAGAAGACATACAGATGGCCAAGAAGCACATGAAAAGCTGCTCAACATCACTAATTATTAGAGAAATGCAAATCAAAACTACAGTGAGGTATCACCTCACACCAGTTAGAATAGGCATCATCAGAAAATCTACAAACAACAAATGCTGGAGAGGGTGTGGAGAAAAGGGAACCGTCTTGCACTGTTGGTGGCAATGCAAATTGATACAGCCACTATGGAGAACAGTATGGATGTTCCTTAAAAAAGTAAAAATAGAATTACCATATGACCCAGCAATCTCACTACTGGGCATACACCCAGAGAAGACCATAATTGAAAAAAACACATGCACCCCAATGTTCACTGCAGCACTATTTACAATAGCCAGATCATGGAACCAACCTAAATGCCCATGGACAGACAAATGGATAAAGAAGATGTGGTACATATATACAATGGAATATTACTCAGCCATAAAAAGGAACAAAATTGGGTCATTTGTAGAGATGTGGATGGACCTAGAGACTGTCATACAGAGCAAAGTGAGTCAGAAAGAGAAAAACAAATAGTGTATATGAATGCATATATATGGAATCTAGAAAAATCATACAGATGAACCAGTTTTCAAGGCAGAAATAGAGACACAGATGTAGAGAACAAATGTATGGACACCAAGGGGGAAAGTTGGGGAGGGTGGGATGAATTGTGGGATTGGGATTGACATGTATACACTAATATGTATAAAATGGATGACTGATAAGAAACTGCTGTGTAAGAATATAAATAAATAAAATAATTTTTTTTAAATGGTGAGTTTTAAAAGGTTTCATTAAAAATGAATATCTCAATTGTTTTCATGGAAATGATTTTTTGATCTTAAGGACTTGAGATAATTGTTGTTCAGGAAACCAAGGGTAGTTGATTTGCTTTCTCTGATGCTAAGATCCTTGAGATTGCTGCCAACCTGTAAAATAAGAGTGCTGCTGCCCTGTTTTAGGGCCTCTCTTGCTATATTTTAGGGCATATTTATTAGAGTTGTACACTGACTATAGGAAAAGAAATAAAAATTAAAGGGCCACTCGTTTTCTTTATCAGAGATACTGATTAATACGCTCTGAGCAAACTATGAAGTCCTTTCATTTAAAGAATCACATAAAGTATGCTTTGGGTACATTCAGGTCTGATGGAAATTTATCTCATGGGATGGGGTAGGGGGACAGAAAGTCAATGAAGAGAGATGAGACAAATTAAAGATAGGAAGGAAGGGGAAGAGGCAAAAAAAAAGAGACAAGAATTGATGCAGAGAAGAGACAAAGGAGGTAAAAGAGGAGGGAGAGAATGGAGGAATGAAGAAACAGAGAAGGGATCAGGAGGATAGGAAAGGGGGAGAGAAAAGAGGTTGGGAAAAGAGAGGGAAGTGGGACACATGCACCCCAATGTTCATTGCAGCACTGTTTACAATAGCCAGGTCATGGAAGCAACCTAAATGCCCATCGACAGACGAATGGATAAAGAAGATGTGGGGGCTTCCCTGGTGGTGCAGTGGTTGAGAGTCCTCCTGCCAATGTGGGGGATGCGGGTTCATGCCCCGGTCCAGGAGGATCCCGCATGCCACGGAGCAGATGGGCCTGTGAGCCATGGCCGCTAAGCCTGCGCATCCGGAGCCTGTGTTCCACAATGGGAGAGGCCACAACAGTGAGAGGCCCGCATACCGCAAAAAAAAAAAAAAATAAAGAGGACGTGGTACATATATACAATGGAATATTACTCAGCCATAAAAAGGAATGAAATTGGATCATTTGTTGAGACAAAGATGGATCTAGAGACTGTCATACAGAGTGAAGTCAGTCAGAAAGAGAAAAACAAATATTGTATATTAACGCATATATGTGGAACCTAGAAAAATGGTACAGATGAACTGGTTTGCAGGGCAGAAACTGAGACACAGATGTAGAGAACAAACGTATGGACACCAATGGGGGAAAGCGGCAGGGGGTGGGGACGGTGGTGTGATGAATTGGGCGATTGGGATTGACATGTATACACTGATGTGTATAAAATTGATGACTAATAAGAACCTGCTGTATAAAAAAAAAAAAAGAAAGGGAAGTGGAGCAAAGGAAGAAAAGAGGACAAGCAGGCAAAGAAAAAAATCAAACAAAGCAATGAATGCAGACTTCAGAGCCTGGGCAATTTTTCATGAAGTGCCACTTGAAGAAGAGAAGCTGTGGAGATGCTGCTTCCGAAGGTTAATGATGGCAGTAATCATGATTCCAGTTTGCAACAAATGGCATGAAAGGCAGCCAAACCCCAAACTGGGAGTCCTACAGTGAAGGCAGTGGAGTGATAACGTAGCAGCAGTGCAGGGATGCTGAGAGGTTGGTTAAGTTCTTTATTAGGCAACCGTTTTGTATCTGATGCATCATCCATTGTTATAAAGAAAAAAATTTATCACAAGATCTCTGAATTAGAGCAAAGGAGTTTGGA